TGATGAGTCCGGATCCGCCTCCTCACAGGGTAGGCTTCCCGGTACTCACTTACACGGTCCGAGTACAAGAGATTCCGGTCCACTGGCAGTCTGGGCTCCAAACCCAAACTTGCCTCCAGGCACTCACAGAGTCCTGACAGACACCAAAGACCATGCACGGGCTCGTACCACAAGGCACAAGCTCCGCCACCACGTGAAAAACCGAAGGTCCCTCTGGTACCTTTTCCCTTGAAAGCACGAACGAGATTGAGCAGCGCAGCCACTCTGGCGCAGCTAGAGCCTACGTGGGCAAGTTCATGCCATACTCTCAAGCTTCTTCGAATGGCATTGGCACTGCGGCGCTCATCTTTAAGCAGGTGCATAAGAAGTCGTGGAGAGGCCATGTTGATGTGGGAGTCTGACGAGGACCCAGCCGTCTGCAGAGCACTTGTGCTGCCGATTGTGGCGTGCCTGGATAAAATGACCCGGAGCACGCTGCGACCATCATAATTGCAGCTGGTTCGCTTTGAGCTGGTGAAGGAACTCGAGGCAAGTTGGCCCTGGCCGCAGGCTGTGCTGATTGTGGGAACGTCTTTCCGCAGAACAAAGTCGATGTCAGGGCCGGATCGTGGCAGCAGACAAGTCATCGCTCTGATTGCTGAAAAGCAAAAAGAGGTACGTTCCAGTGGCTTTCAAAACATCTTTGAAGATGATGAAAAAAGCAGCTTGAAACAATGGCCAAGGAATCCGCCAAATCTTCCAACGCTCCATTGTTTAGAAGTGCTTTGAACAATAGTCAGGAAGCGCGTCTTGAAAAGCTCCTCTTGACCTCCCAATCCGCGATGTCCGGCATAGCTGAGAGTATCTCTCGCGTCACTGGATAACTTTGACTTGCAGGGAATGGAGTGGCCAAGCGTGCTGTCCGACCATGCAGGGTTCTGCCATGTCTTGCGACGCTCTCAGAGGATCCGGCTTAGTTTGTGCACTTCGTGACTTTTGGCTCAAGTGGCTCTGACTGTGAAAAAGAGAGAGCTGTCTGCACTTGTGTGAGAGGTCAGGGGGCGGCCTGGTGTTGGCTTTTTGGCACGCGTGAGAAGACTGGCAACCGCGCTCTGGCTGGAAGGAGTAAATCGCTTCATTAAAGTGCCTCACAGTAAAAAACATGCTGTTCAGCAATGGGCAAGACCATTCGATCGTACTTGCTGTGGAGGTCACTGAAGCTTCCCAACCTCGACAATTTGCTGCTCCTCAGGGTTTCAGATTCTCCAGGTTTTGGTGCAAGGCTCAAAGGCAGAAGATGAGAAAAGAATGCAACGTCGGTGGAAACTGTAGCTTGGACAAGTTTAATGCTTTGAAACGAAACACCAGGGAGTAAATTCAAATTTAACTGATCAAGTGTTGATTTTGAGGGTTTTTTCAACATTTTTGGAGACTTCCGAAATTTTTTGAAATTCGTTGAATGGTACTGAATCCAGGAAGAATTGCAACACGCAACCAAACGAAAGACAAAGAATTGAGAGTTTCTTCTGCTCAATCTCTGACAAATTCGGTGTGCCTTTTCTATGGTGGAAAATTAAAGACAAGAGAATGCAATCGAAGCTTTGTCAAAAAAAAGTCGAATGGATGCAAGGCTGGGCGACTCTCAAGTTGTTCTGCCATGATAAGAGGTCAGTGTGATTTTTTTTTCAATATCTAGACAATTTTCTTAAGATTCAGCATCAGATTCACACACAGCAACACTTTTTTTCTTCAGTTCAAATTGCCTTCGCGAAAAAGAATTTTTCTCTTGTTTTTTGTTTGAAATTTTCTTTGTTTTTTTGTCGAGATGATCTCTCGGTTACTTGCAAGCTTCAGAGAAAGTTTTAAGAAACCGACCTAAACCAAACACAAACAATGAGCAAAGTGTTTTTTGGTTAGTGCTGTCAGCCCAGTAGAAAGACAGTGAAAAAAATTGCAATCGGAATTCAAAGATATCATAAGAATGTGAATTTTTGTGGTTTCCGGTTGTTTTTCTAAGTGTGCATGTGCAAGAGTGTTTGTGGATGTGTGTGTGTGTCAGCATTTGTGGTTGCAAAGTGGTTGGTTTGCGGGTGCATGTCTTCTTTGGCTCAGTGTGCAAGGAAAGTGTCAGTGTGTGGGTAAAGAGTGGTAAGGCATGGAGTCTCAGTAGTGACACCAAACAAAAAAAAAACATGTTTACTTTTTTTCATTGTGAATCGGGCGTGTTGTGGCTTCGGCTTTGGCAGTCGTGTGTGTCATGGAGTGTGGTGTGTGTCATTCTGTGGGTGCAAAGTGGCTTCAGTGGGTAGTGTGCGTTTGCGTGTATGTCGGCTGGGTTCTGCTGGCTGTTCAATGAAAGGTGTGTGGATTTGGAGACACAAAAAGAGGGCAAGTAATCAACCCCAAAAGGTAGGGAAGCCGAAGTGACCTCCACAGTGCGAGAAAGATCGCACGCGAACAATGCCAGACTGCTTTGTCTTGAATGCCAGCTAAAGACAAGTTCAGCAAGCCACGCGTATCGACGGCTTTTTTTGTTTTCTTGAGTGTTGATGCAAACAGTATCGAACAGAAAAAATCTTGTTTGTTTGTGAGTTGATATCAATTATTATTGAACTCAATGGGTTCCAACAGCAGCTCAATTCTGGGCACCGAAAACGGGCCCTAGATTTTGGATTTCCTGTGTGAACATACAAGGCCACCCAGGTTGGAGCTTCAAATTGGAACCCAAGTTTAGGAGCCATTTTTGGGCCCAGCTGCGGCGTTTTTTTCACACACGGGAAGCCAGATCTGGCTTTCACAGCTCCTCGTTGCGAGTAAAGCAAATAAGCCTCTCAGTCGGTTCCAGTCTAAGTCTTGTGTCAGTCTTCCCCTAAAATTAGAACAGCAGGCAGCAAGGCGGCAAAGTGTGAACTTGTTTGGAACCGGAACTTTCTCTAACTGTATGGCAGCTTTATCAGTGCTGGAGAGTGTTGGACAGGTGCCTGAACATCAGGTTTTCAACGGATCAACTGCTTACAAGCAAGAAGGTGCCTACGCTTACTGTTGTTATGGTTTATTATGTGAGCTGACGGTTTGTAGGGCTTCGCTTCCTGCAGGGCTGGCGTTTTCTTGCGTTTGTGCAGCATGCTTTGGTCGACTATGAAGTGCGATGAAGATCGGCTTGAAATTCATTCTGCGCCGGACGAAGACCAGCGCTGGCCGGCGAACTGCAAGGATATGTGTCTAGAGTGATTTCCTAAATGGTTTCGACAGGTCGCGGAGTCCTGCCCCTGGAGGACCTCCTCCGCCGACAATGGGCCAACATGGTGTTCCAGACTGGCGAGACTCCACTAGATCAACCGGATCACCATCGCTGCTGCGTCCTGGAGCACCTTCCGGTACTGCTGCCCAGGCCCCACGAGGCGCGAACGGACCGCCTGCACCTCGACCCCTACCTTCAGGGCCTCTTGGGACCATCTCAGCACCGGCCGGACCGCCTCCACCAGCCAATGCGATGCGAGGACCGGCAAAACCGCCGCCACCCACTCCACACAACCCGTCTCATGCGCGACCTGCGGCGGCGGATGGTATGGGACCGGCAGGCAGGCCACCAATGGCAAGACCACCTCCGAGAGCACCAGGCCTCACCGTTCGACTACCTTCAGGACTTCTTGCCCAAGCGCTGCCATCGCCACACATGTCCACCGTCCATTCGCAAGGGTTCTACACGCTCATGTATACCAATGAGTCCATCTGGATTTGCCTCCAGCCGAATCTCAATGCCAATGATGGCCCTGGAGCACCGGCTCCTCCGCCGTAGCATGGCCTACTTTTGTGTGAAGCGGAGCTCGATCTTCCATGGATCAGCTCGGCCTGCCTCTTGCCTAGTATCAGGCTCTCTCACCGCCTGTGCACTGCACCTACGCACCACGGCAAAAGACACCCCCACGGATGCCTGGATAAGAAGCAATATGGATAATATCCAGTGGAGATGGCCGGCTTGTTCCTGTCAGGCCCCCCAGCGAATCATCGACTACATTGTCTACCACCCCTGCACCATACTGTGTACCGCGTCACGCCCTTGGTCTACACAGTCGTACCTTTCTGCCTGTAATGCCGAGCTTCACATACCGACTCCCCGTGCCCTGAGAGGTTACAGATGCTACATGCTGCAGCGCAGCCCTTCTCACATTTTGGATACTGCTGTTCCCGGTCCCAAACCCGGGAGGCGCGAGATCATTTCTCGAGTGTCGTGCTGTGACACGCTCATCCATCATGCCACTTCACTCGATTTCATCTACCATAACAAGATCGCGCAGGAGCCGAGGGTTGGGGGCTCTGCAGACCAGCAACCCCCTGTAGTTCATCACATGACTACAGCTTCTGTTCTACACATGGGAACGAAGCACAACGGTCAGGCTGCAAACCTTGGCTCCAGTGTCTGGACTGCCGAGGCCGAGGCCACTGAGGATTTCATCCTCGTACTGTATATTCATCGAATTCATGCACTCTACCCCCCATACACTTTGACAGGCTCACTATTGTCGTGTACTTTACTGCCAGGCACTGACTTGTACACACCGTGTTTAGGTCCTCCCATTTTTGGGTCACCAGCTGGAGTGCCTTTTTGCCTCAGGTCCTCATCCTCGCAAGGACAAGCGGTTACCGCTCCCAGAAGGAATACAATCTGTTCACTCTGCCCACACCTTATGTGTCGCTCGTGTCCTCTGAGATGCTTGAAGCTGACCATAAGCCACAGGCTGCTGGCCCCCTGCCTTTCAGACATGCTCGGCCGCCTCAACTGGCTACGATCAGGTCCTGCAGGACCCATGCAGACGTGGTGCACACCTCCGCACCATATAAGCGTACATATAACCTTGGCGTGCAGAGTGTTGACCGCCTCCCTCCGATGTCACTCACAGCAGGCTCAACATGGCCAGGGTTCGCCCATTGGACTGATCCTCTGTACACCCCTAAGTGCACCTTTTCCCGCTCCTATCCTGTACCAGTCGACCCCTTCACTATACACCCAGTCAAGTAACATGGGTCGCAATGGACCATCGCCCTCGGCCAAGCTCAAGTCTTCCAGAAGACCACCATCCAGATTTCGCAATCCCACGGCTGGTGCGGAAGGTGCTGTGGGAGCAGCACAGCCTTCGGCCAAGGCGACATCTGCCACCTGGAATAGACCTCAGGCTAGCACAGGCTGGGGAGAGGCCTGGATGTGGAACGAGCGAGATGCAGACTGGGGTGATGGATGGAGCACTACAACACAGGCGACAGCAGGATGGTGGACGGGACAGTGGCAAAATCAGTGGGACGGGCAGCAATGGACTTGCCGGGTGCCGCCGCCACCTCCACCACCGGCAAAAAGACGCAGTGTTACCTCGCCAGAACGCGAGGCAGGTCAGCAGGAGCAGACGGAAAGCAAGCTTGCGACACCAGGATCAAGCCAGGATCAGGCCATGCCCGTGCTGCATTCCACCTCCACTGGCTCTGCAGCCACCGGCTCCGTAACCCCTGGGAGCACACTACACACCGTCAAGGAAGAGCTTCCCAACTCTGACGACGAATCGGGTGAGTCAACAGGAGGCACTGACCCAGGGGCCGCTGCTCAACCTCCTATCACTGCGTCTGGTCAGCACCATGTCGGCCTGGACCAGTTGCCTCACTCCTCGACCTCAGCCATGGAGACGCGCGGGAGCCATCTTGCCACACCGGCACTCAGCCCTTGCGGCTAGTTGCCCTGGCACCACAAGCAACAGGACACGCACCTTCGGCAACTACCTGCGCAGACAACTTCACTGTCGATGAGGTACGTCACCTTGAGCAACCAGGGCCACAGGGACTACTGCTACAGCAGCTGCCTCGACAGGTGAAAGAAGAACCCCTTGACTCCGATACTCAATCTTCCTCCTCCGAAGCGTCGCCCTCCAGAAGCGATGAAGCAGGGCCAAAGCAGGTAGCTTCGCAGTCGCAGGTGGCTGAGCCGATGCCGCACGTCTCCACCACCATGGTTTCACCGTTGCAGACCGCCGCCAGCTCCGACACCTCCACGGATGAGCACATTGAAGAGACTACACCGCTGGCCCATACCCGTCAAAGCAGCAGTGACATTGAGGGAGTGGATACGAGTCTTTGCCCCGTTGTTAGTACGACATGGACCTCTGATCTCTCGCCAACCTCTCCGGCTGAGACCACTGCGATTCCTCAGGAGAATGTGACCTACCAGCCGCCGCCTCCAGCTGAACCACAGGTCAGACGGTCTGTCAACAAGATCCAGGGCTGGCAGACTACAGGCACCACTGAGACATCGCCCTCGCCCTCCTCCGATGTCACCATTCTGGACGAGCCTGGAACAGCAGCCTCGTCCTCTGTAGATGCTCATCTGGCAACGACCACACGGGTCACTAATAAGATGCAGAGGGTGCACTCTCCGCATTCCCACATATGAAAATCAGCTTGCTTTGCAATTGTCTGAGCGCCCTCCTGCTACGACCCCAATACTACTCTCCAAACCCGGTTCTGTCCATGCAAGATGAGACGCTAATCCAAACAGCTCTCACCACGAATTGGCTGGGACAGGACCAGAGCTCCAGAAAGACTGCACTCGCGCCCCTCTCAGCCTGTGCAGACTATTCTTTGTGGGGTAAACTAACGCGCAGTCATGCTTGGGCACGTTGGAAGCTCGTGGCAGGAACCCGTCGTGTCAAAGCCCTGCGGGACTCAGCAGCGGCTGTCACATTGTCGGGGCCTGAGCCCCCACGTGCAGCATCTGGATGTAGTGGCCACCACCCCAGACATTATCAGTGCTCCATGTCCACGTCATGCTTCTCCCGCTTCCTCCGTGTGCTTATCCTTGCCAGCTTTCATCCATACCTAGCACTCGGCACGTCTTCGCATGCCTCTAATCCTGCACGAGTGGCCGTATCTGAGCCGATACACAGCTCTACTGCTAAGCGCTCCTACAAACGAGCTGTGAAGCGAGCCAGCCGATTTGGAGTTACCACTTATCTGGGTCGCACCTTCACTGCAAAACAGTTGAGAACGCACTACCAGCCAGATAACGCAGACCGAGGGTCTCCCTCCCCACAGGCAGAGACTGCCGCACATGGCCTGCGCGTTCTGTACTGGAACGCTGGTGGGCTACATGCTTCCAGGCATGCAGAGCTCAAACACTGGCTACACATCCAGGATCAATCCACTCGACCAGACCTAGTCGTCATCACTGAAACACACTGGCCCACCACAATGGAATACCCTGCCACAGACTGGCAGGCCATCCATACTGGGGCGGGCCAGTCACAAGGGGGGATCCTTGTGCTCGTTCACAACTCTGTATGTCCGGCTCACGACATCAGATACAACGAGCTAAAGCCGGGTCGATTACTACATGTTCGGATCTCGCTGCAGAAGCGTCCTGCCCTTGATGTCCTGGCCGTATATCAGCACGCTTGGAACCCCGATGGTGGAGATGGTGACAGGCAAGCACGCATCACCAGATTGCTAGCAAACCGGTCGGACATCTGGGAACGGATCTCTAAATGGGCTCGCTCGGTTCCTGCTCGAAATCTTCTTTTCATCGTAGGGGACATGAACTGTCCTTTGCTGAAAGAGACCACTCATGTTGGCAAAGGAACCCCAATACTGCCCGCGGGTCATCACTACAGAGATCAGTTTCGATTGCAGGACCTTCTAAGGGATCATGGTTTGTGCGCGTTAAACACATGGGGCAAAGCAGGGTCTCCCTCCGTCACCTTTAAGCCACTTAAGGGCCTGGGCACTCAAATTGACTTCTGCCTGATGAGATGCCGACAGACAACGCCCCAAGCCCTATGTGCGGGCACCTTGACGAATTTCCCACTCCTGCCTGAAACGGGGATGTATCATCTCCCAGTCAAGGCGCAGCTGCCGTTACCAGTGGCACCTCGCAAAGCCGGCGAGAAACAGGGCAACTCACTTAAAGCCACACAGGAGCTCATGAATAAATACCCTAAACTCCTTCCCACCTACCAAGCGCACCTACCGGATCATGTCTTACCACATCAGGAGCTGACCACAATCATGGCGGATGCATGGGCAACTGCGCTTGATCAGTGCTGCGTGACCCTCAATCCCTCAGAAGCTCCTGCAACGACTCTTGACCAGCCTGAGGTAGTTCATCTTTGGCAACACCGACAGGAGTTGAGGGCACTACAGCAGGCCCTTACTACCAATCATGACACCTTTGCTGGCACTCACGACCTTCAGGTTCGTAAACAGGCCAGAGCCAGACTAGCAGCGTCTATGCTGCTTCGAGCATGGCAGCAGGCTGTACATTGCACTCGGAAGGCCAAGGAGCTTCGCAAGCTTAGCAGACTCAGGAAGAAGCAACACCTTGATGCGCTCATTATGGAGGCCAGGAACAGCAGCAGTCCCATGACAGCCGTTCATCAGATCCTGAAGCGTTATGCACCAAAGGTCAGACAGAAAAGGCTCCAGCTCCGCACCAGTCAAGGACACATCCTCACGCCGCAAGAAGAAATGCAGCAGATTGTGGGACATTTTAAGCAGGTCTACAAACAACCTGACCATGCACCATCGGGCAGGCCTGTTGATCAGGCCGTTGTCTTTGATCCACACAATGTGCTCCTGGCGTTCAGCAAGTTGCCTAACAAGGCTCTTCCTTCACACTTCCTGCCTGCCCCGCTATGGCGAGCCTCAGCTCACCTTGCGACGCAGGTGTTCCAGCAGACCCTTGTGGCAGCCTATGGCCGGGAGGAACTTTTTCTGCCCAAGGCCTGGCACGAAATACAAGTGGCACTCATCCCTAAACCGTCTAAGCCGGCGACCTCTGCCGACTCGCTAAGACCAATTTCACTGCTTTCGCCGATGGCCAAAGTCCTAGCAAAGCTAGTAGCGGAGGAGATTCGGCCCATAGTCTCGAATGCCGCCACGCACATTCCACAATTTGCATACCTAGAAGGGCGACAAACCTGTGACGCTATCGACAGGGCTTTTGGCCATTGCAGAGAAATCCGAGAACGTCGCCAAAACGCCACGGTCACCACCCGTGACAGGAGGGCGGGCAAAACTGCCCAAATCGTCTCGGGAGGCGTCACGCTCTCACTTGATCTACGCAAAGCCTTCGACAGCATCCCCTGGCGGTGTCTGCAGCAATGCCTTGAGCACTTCCGGCTACCTGCCTCGACTACTCAACTTATTTTGTACCTACATGAGAACGCCACGTACATTTTTAAAACTCCCAGAGCGCAGGGCTCTGTGCTGGCGGGGCAAGGCATCAGGCAGGGCTGCGGATTAGCGCCCATGCTCTGGACGCTATACTCCCTTTATCTTGCATCCAAACTTGACACTGCTGCGCCCTCTGCACTTAAAACTTTCTTTGCGGACGATTTTCTAGCGCAATGGACGATCGAGACCTGGTCAGACATGAAAAGTGTCCCCACGCAAATTTCAAAAATAGTAGCAGTCTTAGAAGATCATGGTATGCAACTTAGTCCGGGCAAGACAGTGGTACTTTACTCGCTTTGGGGTACGCAGGTACATGCATGCCTCAAGCCCATGCTGTGTCAACATGCCACTCTCGGCAAATGCCTGCGAATTGGGACTGCTAACCTCACGGGAAAGTGCTACCTCTTGCCGGTTGTCATGTCCCATGAGTACCTTGGCGTCAAACTTTCGTACAAAAACTTTGAGTGGCAAACCCTTAAGCACCGGCTACGCCATTCCTGGATTGCCTACAATCGGTTATCCGCCTTGCTGAAGTCTAAAGCCCTGCCAGTGCATAAGCGATTGCAGCTGCATCAATGCATATGTCTCGCCACCCTTCGATATGGGCTCTCCTGTACAGGCCTGACCATGGCTGGTAGACAGAAAGTCTATGGTACTGTCCTTCGACAATGGCGAGCTTTGGCTAATAACCTTCCTCACATCACTGGGCTGTCTAATGCGACCTTCTTGACAAACTTTCACCTGGCTGACCCCCTGGATGGCTTGGACGCTATTTTGATCAAAAGGCTAGATAAGGTAGAATCAGGGCCTATTGCACCACTACAGCCACCCGCCGTCAAACGATGGTGGGAACACCTCCGTAAAATCACCAATGATCCGACTGTTACGCAGACGACAAGCAAGGTGCCCCTCAGGCATCAGGATGCCAGACCCCCAGCTCCATGTGATGTCTGCGGCCTTTCCTTTCCCAATGAGGCCACGTTACGTTGGCACATCTCCAACGTGCATGTCAAGCTGACTAAAGAGCAACATCACGCGAAGGAGGCAGCCTTTCGAGAACGAAAAGCCTCACACATGCAACATGCACATGATGGTATGCCTACGTGTCGACACTGCAGACATGAGTTTTCATCCTGGCCGCAGTTTGCGGCGCATCACAATAGGCAGTGTTGCCCGGTACTTCACTTAGGATGTGCCCCGACCCTACCTCCATATCCGCCAGACCCTGCGCCCCTGCTACAGGACGAAGCTTTTCTGCAGGAAGCTCAGTCGGATGATTGGAAGCAACTTGCGCAGAAAATCCGCGCCATTGGGCGATTGCACTACTGCCCCTTCTGCAACCTTTGGATGGCCAAAACTGCCATGTTGCATCAACATATCAAGGCTCAGCATGTGGATGCAGCCGCTCACCTTGATAAGTGTCAGCATTTCCTGCTTACGCGAAAGGGTATCAACTCCCCCTGCCAGCACTGCGGCACTCGGCACAACCGCGCGGCTGTGGGGTGCTCAGTACTGATCCGAGTAGCCTACGTCCTGCAACATCAAAATCGCTTGGGAATCCTCCTTCATACCACGGAATCGGCCACAGGTGATGATGGACGAGCTGACAAGAGGCGCCGCCGAAATGGACCTGTGGAAGTCCATGATGAACAAGCCTGGGGAGGTGGGGCAAAAGCGGCAAGGCGACCGAGTGGAGGACCTCAGTCGCCAGAAAGGTCGACAGCGCGGAGATCGGGGGAAAGGCAACCAGAGCTTCGCGAGGCAAGCCAAACAGGCCTCCGGGCCTTCTTCGCTGGACAACGACGAGGACGATCCCCTGAGAGAGGCCGTGAAGCTCATCACGACCCTGTCCCTTCGCCACGAGGATGCACTGGCCATCCACCGTCAGGACACCAGCTACGTGTTCTTCATGAAGACCAGTCCGCCGGAGCTGACGGTACTCAGCGATCTCATGCGAGTCGGATCGGAATGGAAGGCCAAGAAGGAGCAGTCCCCAGCTCTGGTCACCCAGCCCTTGCGGGTGGTCCTCCTGGGCTGTCTCCTGGAGGCGGTGACTACCAGGATGCAATCCCTGCAGGATCCAACGCTACATGCCAAAGCACAAGCGGCCAAACTGGTCAATCCAGCAGGCGACTTTCACTACATGATGTGGGACGATGCGGAGAAGATATACCAGAACAAGGACGATCGCGAATCGATCCCCACGAAAACGGTACTCGAGGACATCGCGACCCTGCAGAGGCTGATCCTCCAGCCACGAGTGGTAGGACGCTTTCATGCCCAACGGAAGCTTGCGCCGGACATGCAGGGGGAAGTGGTGCCATTCGTACTGGAGATTGGCCTACGCAACCAAGCCTCACACAAAGTCTACTTTCTGCTGGACAAGTACTGCCACCAAGCAATCTGGCACCTGGCAGGCACGTCCCTGAGGCACGACAAACTGGGACGCGGAGCGTTGGCCAATGCGCTGGAGAAACTTGCAGAGAAGCTTTGAGGCGACTCCGACTTCAAAACTCCTGTAACCATTGCTATGCTAACAGTCTAGTCCTCACACTTTTGCATGCACAAAGCTTCAGGCGCATGACGTTCTTTCGTGATGATCTTCAAAGGCTGATGTCCTGGCTCGTCACTCAGAAAACGGCTAAGTTGTGGCAGCTTATGCCCTGGACCCAGGCGCTAAGAACATGGGCACAGCCAAATATGCAACATGATGTAGCAGAATTTGCCAAGCACATGTTGGCAAATGAGCTGCTTACTGCCCCCATGCTTGGGGAATGGCAAACCAGATTGCATGTGGACGGCGCTATTCAGGTCACAGATAGAGGTACCACTTGGCCTATCCTGCTGCCTGAGCCCCTGCTGACCCAACAGGAATGCGCGTTACAGAGCTTAATTGATGCATGGGAGTCCCAGGCTGCTCCGCACGCGCTTGCTGCTGATCCAAGTGAGCTCTTGCTGCAACTCAACAGGTTTCGAGAGGTTGGTGGAGTCTACGCCAAGTCTACTACCCCAGTTGTGCCAGCTGATACCCTCTCCATTCCTGTGTTTCACGGTGATGGTTTGCAAAGGGGCACCCTACGATATCGACTAAGAGCGGCAATCATTCACATTGGTGATACCCCTCAATCTGGACACTACAGGGCTGTCACCTTCCATGTAGGGGCCACTGCCTACTTGCATGACGATAACAAAGTTGCCCAGAAGCTCACTACCAGACTTCTCAAGACCCTGCACACCCAAGTCTATCTTTGCCTATATTCCAAGATAGACAATCCTCAGTCAAGTGCTGACCTCGCCGTAAACATATCATCTGATTCACTGCCACCAACTTCATCAGCAGGGTAAGCGGTTACCGCCCCTGATGGCTGCGTGGGTAAGCGGACTCCGCCCCTGAGTAGCGTTTCACACACAACGCCAGGTTAGTGGTCTCCACCCCTGTGCTTGTACAGATTGGGTAGGGTGCTCTCTCTTTTTGACTTCTCACCACTCGAGTCACGCATAGATGTTGAGTGGCCTCGGTAGCTGCACTGCTTATGGGACCCTCGGGTCGGGTGCAGTGGCAGTTGCCCATCCTGCTCTCTAGAAGAGCCGTGTACATTCTTGTACATGATGTAGCCCGCATAGCGAAGCTCACCCCTCGCTGCGTTGGAAAGAAAGAATCATGCACCGCTGTTTGCATTAAGCCTAAACAAGCCTTGCGCAGCTGGAGCATCTCCGGCTCACAGCTGGCCTTGACCTAACCCCTAGGTGGGGCCTTCTGCTTTTCGCCCACCCACCACTGCCCTTACGCACTCAAAGCATATCAGCCAAAAGCCTGGATCCATCCGGATCCCGCCTCCCAAAGTGGAGTAGCCCTTCAGAAATGCCCACTTGCCTCCCAAAGTGGAGTAGCCCCGGTCCCGCCTCGGGACCTCATCATCGCACCTCAACAGGGGGTGTGATGGCCTTACATGCTCGTGGGATCTTGCCCAGCCTTTCCCACGATGCATTTCACTCTCTCGCCCAGAGCAGCACCGCTGAAAACAGGAGAGCGAGTCGTTGGTACCCTAAACCCCTCCCGGTTGGGATATAGGATTAGGGTCTGACTCCTCTCCCCAGCTAGGGTTAGGTCATGCAGTGCTTGTTGGGAGAACGGTAGTGGTAGTGGTAGTAGTAGTAGTAGTAGTAGTAGTAGTAGTAGTAGTAGTAGTAGTAGTAGTAGTAGTAGTAGTAGTAGTAGTAGTAGTAGTAGTAGTAGTAGTAGTAGTATAGTAGTAAGTAGTAGTAGTAGTAGTAGTAGTAGTAGTAGTAGTAGTAGTGGTGGTAGTAGTAGTAGTAGTAGTAGTAGTATTAGTAGTATGGTAGTAGTAGTATGGTAGTAGTAGTAGTAGTAGTAGTAGTAGTAGTAGTAGTAGTAGTAGTAGTAGTAGTAGTAGTAGTAGTAGTAGTAGTAGTAGTAGTAGTAGTAGTAGTAGTAGTAGTAGTAGTAGTAGTAGTAGTAGTAGTAGTAGTAGTAGTAGTAGTAGTAGTAGTAGTACGTAGTGCGAAGCGGGGATGGAAACGATATGAGAACGCAACCGGGAGGGATTTTCGTTGAATGTATTACGGACTGCACAGCGGCGCGTGCTGCGGCGCGGGAAGCTGAGGGATTTTCGTTGAATTGTAGTACAAGCGTAGTACTGGGAGGACAGAGCCGGAGAGGCGCGAGAGCGGACTGCGGCGCGTATGACGGCGCGTACGGCGGCGCGGGAAGCTGATGAGGGATTTTCATTGAGTTGCAGTACAAATGTAGTACTGGGAAGACAGAGCCGGAGGGGCGCGAGAGCGGACTGCGGCGCGTACGACGCGGCGTGGAAGCTGAGGGATTTTCGTTGCGGTGCGAACGGCGGCGCGGGAGGGATCGAAGTGTAATACGAATGTAGTACTGCGAGGACACAGCCGGAGGGGTGCGAGAGTGGACTGCGGCGCGGACGACGGCGCGGACGGCGGCGCAGTCAGCTGAGTGATTTTCGTTGAATTGTAGTACAAATGGGAGGACACAGCCGGAGGGGCGCGAGAGCGGACTGCGGCGCGTACGGCGGCGCGGGAAGCGGAGGGATTTTCGTTGAATTATTGTAGTACAAATGTAGTACTGGGAGGACAGAGCCGGAGGGGCGCGAGAGCGGACTGCGGCGTATGCAGCGCGTACGACGGCGCGTACGGCGGCGCGGGAAGCTGCAAATTTTCGTTGAATTGTAATACAAATGTAGTACTGGGAGGACAGATCGAGCCGAGGGGCGCGAGAGCGGACTGCGGCGCGTACGGCGGCGCGGGAAGCGGAGGGATTTTCGTTGAATTGTAGTACAAATGTAGTACTGGGAGGACAGCCGGAGGGCCGCGAGAGCGGATTGCGGCGCGTACGACGGCGCGTACGGCGGCGCGGGAAGCTGAAGGATTTTCTTTGAATTGCAGAACAAATGTAGTACTGGGAGGACAGCCGGAGGGCCGCGAGAGCGGACTGCGGCGCGTGCGACGGCGCGTACGGCGGCGCAGGAAGCTGAGTGATTTTCTTTGAATTGTAATACAAATGCTATAGTACTGGGAGGACAAAGCCGGAGGGGCGCGAGAGCGAGCGGACTGCGGCGCGTACGGCGGCGCGGGAAGCGGAGGGATTTTCGTTGAATTGTAGTACAAATGTAGTACTGGGAGGACAGAGCCGGAGGGGCGCGAGAGCGGACTGCGGCGCACACGACGGTGCGTACGGCGGCGCGGGAAGCTGAGGGATGTTGGTTGAATTGTATAGTACAAATGTAGTATTGGGAGGGTATTGGGAGGACAAAGCAAAATGTGCATACGGAATGGATATTCAAGTGGGGGTTTCACTCCGGCACTGGTGTCATTCGGATTGTTTTTGGGTTTCTTGTTTGACCTTGTTTTTCTCTTCCCCAACAGCGTCGAGGCCAAGGCGCGCTGCAACGCGCATCCGAGTTGCCCCCACCACCGGCCCTCCCACCCCGCGCGGACAGCTGCGCGCAGCGCCCGCGGCGCGCGCAGGGAGCGCTGTTGCGCGAGGCTACAAACGAGATCGTGCGCCTCCTGCCCCCCATCGTCCGCCGACCTCCGCAGCCAGGACGACGAATCGGGCCCGGGCCGGCCAGTTCAGGGTAGCGCCGTTGTTCGCGCCGTCGATGGCACTGGCAGCCATCCCGATCTTACGAAGCCGGTTGCGGGCGCCCGTCTGCCCCCAACGGCGAAACCAGGGTCACATCGCAGCAGGGTGCCTCACCGCGCCGAGACGCCCCATATATGACGAGGTATGACGAGGTCGAGTCGGCGCCGGTAATCTGGGCTACGCCCGGCGCAGTGGTCCGCGCCATTGTTGGGGGACCACCCGCCCTTCGGCGGCGACGGCTTCCCGCGCGACGCGAACCCATGCTCCCTCGAGTATGGGAGAATATGGGAGATATGGGAGCACGCCTGGCCAGCAGCCCACTCCGAGCGCAGGCGGCGCTGGTCGCCCAACTGTTCCCCCACGGCTCGGCAGCCTGGCTCGCCATGTCCACTGCAACGGGTTGACGCCAAGGGTAGCGGCAAGCGAAGGCGTCGCCGGAAAGTGACTTGCATATCCATCGGCAGGAGCTGTGTGCCCTCGCGGGGATGGCTCGCAACCACTCGCGGGCATGCGCGCCCGCCTGGGAGCGCAGCAGAGCTCGGGAACTCGGCGACAAGCTGCAGAGGAGGCGCCCGCGATAGAACTTGTTGAGTACACGAGCTGCCGGCTTCTGCCAGCCATGAATCCAACTTCCAAGCTCTGAAGGCTCAGTGTGTGTACGCGGCGGCCGCGCCCCGCGGAGCATATTATTTTGTTTCCGCGCGAACACATTATATTGTAGGCGCGGGGAAAAAACCTGTCTTGCGGTCATCATCAGTCTTTTGGTCCTGTTAATGGTTGATCTGGGGATGAGTCTTTACATGGCTTGTGTACGTCCCACATCCACTGAACGCTGAGACCCTACCTGTCATATCTTGTTTTGTGCTTCGGGTTGCTGCTGGTCGCGACACTCTTCTGGGGACGGGTGCTGGCACGCCGCCATGTCCGCCGGCCTGGGTAGCGGCTGCATCAGGAGGCGAACGCGAACTTACCGAGCTGGCCGCATCGCTCGACCAGTCGCCGACTACACTGCTTCGCGCTCTATTATGCTCTATTGCAACAAGCTATGGAGTCGCAGGCCCATGCCCCATCACCGCCGCACCCATCAGCCCGCGCAGCACGGACAGCGCGCCACAGAACGGCGCCGCGGTTGCAAGGACCGAAAACCCTCAATGCGGACGCGTGGAGGCCTGGCGGCCCGTTTCGCAATAGAGTGTGGCCTGGAACCGGTGGCTACTTGGAAACACGACCGCTGTAGAGGAGTCCACGCTTTTCATGTTGCTCCACGACGCGGCCTTAGCTCTTGGACGCCGCGCCCGTACCGAGGCCGGCGCATTGGCGAGGCCGCTCAGCCCGGCCCACCAGCCACAGCCGCTGATGTGACA